GCTTGAGCCCAGGAGTTTGAGGTTGCTGTGAGCTAGGCTGACGCCACGGCACTCACTCTAGCCTGGGCAACAAAGCAAGACTCTGTCTCAAAAAAAAAATAAAAACAAACAAACAAAAAAACAATCTATGTCCACAAAGTTATTAACTTAGGTGAAAAGCTTTCCTTGAAAAAGACAAATTCTAGAGCACACACAAGCAGGAACAGATAATCAAAAAAGGCCTTTATCTACATAAGTAATTGAATTAATAATTAATAACCTTTCAAAAAGGAAAATATATCTGTGAATTTACATGAAAAGGGCTGGATGTAAGCCGGATGCGGTAGCTCTTGCCTGTAATCCTGGCACTGTGGAAGGCCAAGGCGGGAGGATGGCTCGAGGTCAGGAGTTCGAAACCAGCCTGAGTAAGAGCAAGACCCCGTCTCTACTAAAAATAGAAAGAAATTAGCTGGACAACTAAAAATATATAGAAAAAATTAGCTGGGCATGGTAGCACATGGAAGTCCCAGCTACTCAGGAGGCTGAGGCAGAAGGATTGCTTGAGCCCAGGAGTTTGAGGTTGCTGTGAGCTAGGTTGACACCACGGCACTCTAGCACAGGCAATAGAGTGAGACTCTGTCTCAAATTAAAAAAAATAAAAAATAAAAAAATAAAAAGGGGTGGATGTAAAATGAAACTGTAACAGAGGGAACAGCCTGAAAAAGGTAAAATGTTTTAAAAGTTGTCTCTTTAAAATCTCCCCAACTCTTCTTGAGAATTGAAACCTGTGTTCCTGCCTGAGGCCAGTGATCAGAGGGGCAAGGGAGTGTCCTTTGTTCTTTGTATCATAGGCAATGGCTCAACAGAATTTTCTAGCTGGGAGACAGGACAGATCAGAACCACCAATTGTAATTAAACAGCAATAGCCTGAAGATGAAAACCTTCCCTTTAAAAGTTCTGTATTTCTGCTTATAGGGAGGAAAAGAGTACTTTGAGACTGTCATTCTCTTCATTTGCTGGCAAATGAATAAACCACCCTTTCCTTCTTCTCAAACCACTTGTCCTCAATCTTCTGAATGGCCTCAGGGACAAGTGCCAAACTTTCGGTAACAAAACCTGAGTAATGATGTCAACTGTGAAAAATGTCCACAGAAAACAGCCTGTGGGCTTTTTACCTTGTGTGTTATACTTTTGGTTCATTTAAAATTTTTCTATAATAATTTTACATTTTTATAATCACATTTAAAGTCTTTACTAAAACACGGTGGCACAAGAACAGAATAACAGGTTTGCAGGGAAAAGGTGTTTCATCATCCTCACGTTATCTGGGGCTCCCCTGTGAGGGCCAGGGCAGAGAGCAAGCACAGATGGAGCCCCGCCCTTGGTGAAGCCTGCCTGCTTAAAGGGGAAGGGAGACGTTGATCACGTATTTCCATGAACTAGCCATACTGCAACTGTAACAAATGTCACAAAAACAGCCTGGGGACAGGAGGGTGGTTGGCCTCGCCAGGGAAGCTGGGACCTGAAGGCTGGTTGCAGTCAGTCAGGGGAAAATGGGAGGAAATGTGCTCCAGGCAGAGGAAACAGAACAAGCAAAGGCCCTGTGGTTGTGTTGCCTTTTTGTCCTTTGGGGTGCTGTAACAAAATGCCATTGACTGGGTGGCTTACCAACAACAGAAATTTATTTCTCACAGTTCTGGAGGCTTGGAAGTCCAAGATCAAAGTGCCAACAGATTTGGTGTCTGGTGAAAGCCCATTTTCTGGTTCATAGATGGCACCTTCTCACTGGGCCCTCATGCAGTGGAAGGGGCAAGGGAGCTCTCTGGGTTCTTTTATAAGGACACTAATCCCATTCAGATCCCTCATGATCTAATCACCCCAAAGCCCCACCTCCTAACCCCATCACATTGGACGTGAGGGCTTCAACATATGAATTTTGGGATGAGCATGGCAGAGAGCAACAGTAGGGACGCCCATGTGGTTGGAGCCAAGGTGGGGCCAGGTGTGAGGGTATGAGACCCGATTTGCACTTTGCATAGGTCAGCCTGTCTAAGGTGTGGAGAATGTCTTGGTGCCTTGAAGACACTCAGGAGTTCCATTTCTAGCTGCCCAGAGCCCCCTGTGCCGGCAGCAGTGATGGGAGCAGGGTGATTGCTGTATCAACCATGGAATTTTGGAGCTTCTTAATGAGGCACCTTCTAAGGAAGGAGGGTACCTGCCTCTCTCATGGAATGTTCTTGAATACCATGGCAAGAAAAAGATTTCGAGGGAAACTGTGTAATTTTTAAAAAATTAATAAATAAGATGATGTGGTGTTGCTACCTGGACTGGGACCCAGTCAGAGAGGGGTGCCAGGCATTTATTTCAGCTTCGAGAAGCAAGCGGCAGTCATCTGTGAAGAAGTCAAGCTGCACCCCAGCATGCGGGCAGGTGCGGGCAAATGAGGCCCTGGCAGCAAGAGGAGGCCCGCAGGTCTGTGCAGCTGCCCACTGGGAGGTTGGGGATCCAGGGGGTGGCCCAAGGTCAGAAAGTGTGGGAGGGCTCCCAGCAACCCTGGGGAGTGGACACTGATTTGACATTGCCCCTGGACACATGCGGCAGGACCTTGTATTTGAAGTGCTGATGAAGAGCTCCGCAGTCGGCTGCCAGGGCAGACTGGGATCCCTACAGCTCGGCCACTTCTCCTTCTGGTTCCACCTAGGCTCTCCAGAATCATGCCTGGGCTGGCTGAAAAACCTCACTGTTTCCATTTCTAACATTTTTAAAAATCCTTGAAACAGCTTTTATTATGGAAAATGTCAAATATATGCAAAGTAGAGATAAGAGTCTAATGAGCTCCTGACGCCCATCTCAACAGTAACCAACATCCTGCTCTTCTCATCTCCTCCCCTCCCAAATGTACCTGTTCACATGAAAACACTTCAGCTTACTCTCTATGAGCTTCTACCAGGTAGAATTTTTTGGAAGCACAGTCACAGTTACCATCAGCATAGACAATAAAATGAATAATCCCTCACTATCTTCTAACACCCCAATTATCTTTAGTAATGTCTTTTTACAGTTGCTCACACCCGGTCCAAAGGCCACACACTGCACTTGCTTTGTACTGCGGCTGCAAGATGGTAAGACCTGTTAGTATTTCCAGTGTGCTGGATGACCACGCTGCTCATCTCACATACAGTCCACAAAGGGCTTGCCCACCGTGACTGAATCAGCAAGCTCACCGCCACGCTGGAGGCGGGGAGATCACTTCCACTTCCTCCAGAGAGGAGGGCTGAGGTCTGAGGTAGGAGTGACGGTGCACGCCCCAGCTCTGTAGCTGCAGCCCAGGGCTCACAGCCCAGTGCTCATTCACATCTCACACTGAGCTCATCCAGCTGTGGGAGGGAGGACATCACGGCCATCTTCTCTGAAAAGCTATAAAAGTTCTAGCAGGTTCCCTGCCGTGCATAACCCAATTCTAAAACCCGTACCCCACCTTGGTCTGCCGCTCACCCACGGCACGTGCAGAGCCGCTGCACACCACCGCGCCCGCCGGCTGCCTCCAGGAGGAGATCTGGACTCCTGCAAGAGGCCACTCAGGGCTCCCCGGCCAGCTCTCCCCGCACCACACCCACTCCAGCCAACCGCAGGGCACCGAGGGGCACATCCTGCTGACCAGCCCGAGACCCTCGTGTGAGGACCCACGTCGGGGACTAAGGAGGGACCTAGCACTGTCCAGCACATAACTGCTTCTCAGTCAGGGCAGTGACATTCCGATTTCATGGACAGGAAAACGGAGGCTCGGAGAGGACGAAGGCCCCTGGTTGGTCCTGGCCCTCGGCGGGTGCTGGCGCTAACCAGAGCCCGGCAGCGGCGCCCAGGGTCCCCGGCGCCTCGCGGCCTCCCCTCCTGCCACGGGGCTGGGCGGGCTCGGCCCCACTCCCGCGCGGCCAGGGCTCCTCGGGCTCCAGGGCCCGGGCTGGCCGTGCCCCGCAGCAGCTCCCGCCGTCTCCTCTGATCTGCAGGCACGCGCTGGAGCCGGACGCTGCCAGGAGGGAAGCCGCGTTGTCCACAGCCGGCCTGCGGAGCCCCGCGCGGACTCCAGCGTCTCCTCCAGAGAGCGCCGCTCACCCGCAGGCTCCCCGGGGCGCCAACGCCGACTGCGTCCCTCCTCCCGCCCTGCCCAGGGCCGCCCCCACCCGGCCACCGGCGGCCCGCACAGCGCTGCCGTCACAGCCGCCCTGCCGGGCAGCAGCCCCGGACTCCGCCGGCCGGAGGGCCGTCAGGCGGGACCAGCAAGATTAGCGAAGCGCCCGCTCCTGAGGAGGCCTCGGGGCTTGAGCGGGCTGCCACCGGCTCCTTCAAAGCCCTAGAAAAGGCCGGGCGCCGTGGCTCTCGCCTGTAACCCTAGCACTCTGGGAGGCCGAGGCGGGCGGATCGCTCGAGGTCAGGAGTTCGAAACCAGCCTCAGCAAGAGCGAGACCCCGTCTCTACTATAAATAGAAAGAAATTAATTGGCCAACTAATATATATAGAAAATTAGCCGGGCATGGTGGCGCATGCCTGTAGTCCCAGCTACTCGGGAGGCTGAGGCAGCAGGATTGCTCGAGCCCAGGAGTTTGAGGTTGCTGTGAGCTAGGCTGACGCCACGGCACTCACTCCAGCCTGGGCGACAAAGTGAGACTCTGTCTCAAAAAAAAAAAAAAAAAAAAAAGCCTTAGAAAAATCCAGACAGGCTGTGGCTCAGGCGGGTCAGAGAGCCCCTCCGAATCGTGTCTAGGAGAGATTAGAGAGGGAACCGTGACGTCATTATCACCAGAAAACTGGAGTTGAGGCAGTTTTGTTAGAAAAGCAAAATTTCTGAGGCAACAGACCCCGCTCGGCGCGCGTCAGGCCCCGAAAGTGAATGAACAAGAGCCCCGCGAGCCGAGCCGAGCCGAGCCGAGCCGAGCCGAGCCGAGCCGAGCCGAGCCGAGCCGAGCCGAGCGGAGCCGAGCCGAGCCGAGCCCCGCGACCCTGCAGCCGCGCGGGCTCCGAGCTCCTGCCGCCGCGCCTGCGCGCCTGGGCTCTGCGCCCTGCGGCGCCTGGACGCGCGGCCTCCTCGGTTGTCTGAATGAGGACTACATATGCCCGGGTGCAGGAGTCCCAGGGTGCCCCTGCGCACCACCAGGATTTACTCCACAAACATTGGGACGCCACCAGGTGCCAGGCCTGAAACCCCCCAAGGCCGCTGCTTTGTCCTCGCGGGGGTGGGGGGGAGGCGGTCTCTGAACTGGCAGTGCCCCTCCCCCACCGGATTTCACAGGTGGGGGGACACGGCCCAGAGGCTTCTTTTTCTTCCTAATTAGCAGCTTGACCGCCAACATGAACAAACAACCCCAACCTGCTGTCCCCCCCTCCACTGTGACAGCTCTGAAAGGCCAAGGTGCACAAAGTCGACAGGCAAACCAGGCTTCCCTCACCGCCTCGCGCAGGTATGAAAGTGTCCTCCCGTTCAGACACCCCCAACCCTGGGCGGAGTGGGCGCCGTGTCAGGTGCAGGAATTGAGCTCCGCATGGGGCAGTCCGTCTCCCGGAGGCTCAGGTCTCTCTGGTTCCTCTCCAGCTGGGGAAGAGGGGGTGGCAGGACGGGGTGGGTCTGGGGAAGCGCGCGAGCGAATGCCTGCCCACGCGGGACGGCCAAGCCCACCAGCATCCCTGGGGAGGCCAGGCGGTGGCAGCAAGGCTGCCCACGGACCACCCGTGGCCGGCTCGAGAGCAGCTGTGTGAACGCAGGGCAGCACTGTTGCTCAGAGCCAGGGTCTGCCACCAATTAATTTTGCCACCCTGGTGGCGTCCCTAACTCTTCTGAGCCATTTCCCCGTCTGTGGTTGCACGGGGCTGTAGGGAGGCCCGAGCAGAAAGCACGTGCAAAGTGCCCGCAGGGCAGCCCCAGGGGCCTGGGGGAAGTTCGCCACTCCTTATCACTGGCCTGCAGCTGCAGTTTGTCGGAGGATACCGTGGCTGTTTGACATCTGTGACTGCCAGGAACTGGATCCAGAGTTGAGCCAGAGACGGTGCCCTCGGGCCCTTGGCTGGGGGTGTGGAGTGCCTGAGCAGAGTCAACCAGAAAAGGGCCAGGCTGCTCAGGAGCCCTGGGAAGCCCCTGGTCTTGAGCCTGGGGTGTATGGCACCTCCTTTTTCGCAGAGAGAGAACACTCCTGGCTCTGTCCACAAAGTGTTGTGTGTCCTGTGCTGTTGTCCTCAGAGTTCCCAGCCTGGGGCTTACTAGAGGACAGACGGGCCTGTGTGCAGGCCAGGCATAAGGCAGGGTCCCGTGAGCCGAGGAGGGGCTTCCCAGACCTCAGGTCCGAGGTGGGCTCAGGAGCAGTGGGGGTGCGATGCTAGTTTTGCAGTCTGTGGAAGCCACTGCGGCACAAGGGTGAGGCCCTGCACTTGGGAGTCTGACGGCCAACAGCAGATCCGAGCTCACTGTCACCAGTGGGCACCCCCAGGCCAGGCCTTCGGAAACTCTGGGCCTTGGTGATGGACACCCCAGCATTGCCAGGAAGGCCCCCCGAGATGGTGGGCACGTGGATCTGCTCTGTGCACTGCAGCTGGGTCACAGCGGCGGGGCTCGAGGGCCCCAGGAGCTCCCAGAGACCCAGGAAGCAACAGTCCTCCCCTCTCTGGAACGAGGCGCAGCAGCACTGCTGGTCCCATGGCGGGCGGGAGCAGGAGTGTGCTCCGCACCAGGGAATAAGCAGATGCTTGCCTCGTGGCTCACCAGCTCACGGGGTGTGCCCCCCTAGCCTGGGAGGGCGGAGCGCACCAGCTCATTTCAGTAGAGAGGAAAGCAGTCTGCTCAGGGTCACACAGCTCTCAAAGGGAAGAGGTGAGGGCTCTTCCTGTCACATCTTCTCAGGTGGCAACAAGGAAGGAGGGACTGACAAAAACACGTGTGCTCAAGGGCTCCCGGCTCAGGACCTCTCTGAGAATGAATGTTTAATGAGCCCCTCAGCTTCAAACGTGGCCTCACCTGGAAGGGGCCAGTCATTGGCCCCACCAGTGACAGAGCCTGCTGGGGTGGCAGACCATCTGCTGGCCCCTTTGCCACCATCCTTTCCTGCAGACAAGGGGGTGTGGAGCCCCTGGCCAGGCCTCCAGCCTGAGCACCACCAGGATCCAGGCACAGCCAAAGGAGCTGCTGGTTTCCTGTCTGGAAAGGGTGGTGTGCCCTCCCTAGAGAATGAGGTGATAGTGAGGTGACCACGGTCAGGGATGAATGGCCTCTGTAGAGCTTAACCCCCACACCCCACCAACAGCCCCATGGAAACGAGGGGTAGTAACCCACAGTCCTGGAGACAGACCAGCTAGGGTCCTTACAGGGCTTTGCTACCACGGGACGAAAGGAGGAAGTGAGAGGCAGCCTGCAAAGACAGGATTTTCTCCTTAGTTACTGGACTTGATGTGGCAACTTCTTTGCATTTCCGTGTTTGCTCTTTTGTGTCCAGGATCCAGCAGACCACAGGGAGCAGAGGGACCTCGTCTTGTTGACCTTTGCCCTCTAGCATCTATGTGGACAGACTATATCATCTTGACAACCAACCCTTACACGAGGGTCCTACTGTGACCTCCATTCACACTTGAGGATACCAAGGTGCAGACAGTAACTTGCCCAGGGGTGCACGGCCAGGGTAAGAGTCGGGATTCCCAGAAATGACATCCCCGCAGATCTGCAGGAATACATAATTCACAAGGGTTAGGAAAGAGTGCATGGCAGAAGCAGCCACCTCTCCCTGACTTCTCAGTTAGTGGGATTATTTTGGTGAGATGAGGTTTTGGAGTGTTCAATGGACTCTGTTTGATGGACTCTGATAGTACCCAAGTTGAATACTGGCTCCAACCTCCTGGCAAATGCCTGATGTCTCACTATGTCTGTTTTCTCCTCTGTAAAATGGGGCTAACACCCATACAGTGCTTACAATGCTTGGCACAGTGTGAGCCCCCAGTGAGAGCTGCTACCATTATTAGCACATCATCTGACACCATCCACACGTGAGGTGGTGTCATTACTAGTGTGATAAAGTGAGGCAACCGTCCCTGAAGATGCAACTAACCAACCACACGGGTGATGCAAGGCCAGCAGCGGGCTCTGAAGCAGCTGCTCACTTCCCGCTCTCTGCATTCGAAACACCACCAAGCTGGGGATGCCATCCAACTGGCTGCTTTCAAGAGAAACCAGGGATAGGGACTTCCTTTCTGTACTGGACTGCTGCACATATAAAGCACTCCTGGGCAGCCAGAGCCATCAATGCCTATGCTCAGAGCCTGTCAGGGTGGCATCTGTAGTGGCAGAAGCAGCAGTCACAAGCAGAAGCCTGAGCACTGAACCCCTAGGACGGTTCCAAAGACACTTAGCTGTGATGTCAGCACCCTGGGGTCTGGGGTCCAGGGTCAGGCCAGAGGCCTGTCTCTGCATTTGAGTGCACCAAGCATCCCTCGGTAACAGGGTCACTCAGCACCCACCCTGCTCTTGCCGGTACGGGCATTTGTGAAGCAATTATGCGACAGTATTTATAGAATCACAGCAAAAGGTGACAACCATCAGGTGCCCGCCTGTGATTAGGTAAATCAAGAGGAAAGGGTGTCTGTATGCACCAACTCATGTTCTGTACCAACCTCAGGTACACGTATGAAGGGAGCCATCCTAGACACAGGTGTCACTTCCTATCAGTCAGCATAAGGACTCGATAAAAATGGTGTTGAGGTGGCTGGCCAACTATCTGGGAAAAAAATACAGCCAAATTCTTAATCCTCAATCCTTGTATACAACATATATGCTTCAAAGATGAACTTTACATAAACTATATGGGTGCTTGAAAAACATGGCAGACTTTTATACTCTTAAGGTGGAGAAAGCATTTTAAAACACACCTATACATCCCAGAAACAATAAAGAAAAATGTAATGAAACAAAATTTAAATACCTCTGTATGGAACCCACTTCTCCTGTCCCCAGATAAAAGGGACACAAGCTAATAAAAAATAAGTACTTGTCTCAAATAACCAAAGTTGAGTGTTATTAATAGCTTATAGAATGGTGAGAAAATAGATGCTCAACTTCAAAAATAGGCCCTAAAGGACCTCTTCTTTTCCATGATGTTTGTGACATTGTGACATGCAGCAGTAGGCATTCCAGAGGTTAGAATTTCCCTTCGAGACCAATGCATGAGATACAAGGGATCTTCAAAAAGTTCACGGAAAAGTCGTATCATGAAAAACCTATGAATTGATTTCAAAATACTTTTGCACCAAAATAAACTCATACTAACTTATTATAACATGTCTGAATAGGATCTAGTTTGAGGCTGGAAGGATAAGACATTAGTTTGAAAAGAGCCCTATCAGACCAGCATGAATGCTACTAAAATTGAAGACCAAATTTATGGTGAAGCTTAGATAGAAGAATGGTGAAATTCTTGAGTTGCTTTTCAGAAAGTTTATGGGGACAATCTCCCAAGAATCAGCAGTTTACCAATAGATAACTTGTTTTAAGAATGTGTGAGATGATGTTGCTGATGATGCCTATAGCAGCAGATCATCCACATCAATTTTTTGAGGGAAAAAAATCTTGCTTGCGCCCTCAGGCAGACAATAGCAACACTGCACATATCTCATCTGGTTCACCTTACACCATTCTGACTGAAAAACTAAAGGTGAGCAAAGTTTCTGCTTGATGGGTCCAGATCAGCTACAGCCAAAAGCAGAACTTCCAAAGGAAATTTTAAACAAGTGGGATCCTCCAGTATTTCTTTGAAGAACTGTACAGGAGGTAAAACATGGCTTTGCCAGTACGGTGTTGAAATCAGAGCACAGTCCAAGCAATGGCTAACAAAAGGTAGACGTGGTCCACTCAAAGCAAATGTGGACCAGTCAAGAGCAAAAGTCATGGCAACAGTCTTGGGGGATATTTAAGGCATTTTGCTTGTTGATTATCTGGAGGAATAAAGAATGATAACATCTGCTTATTGAGGGTGTTTTGAGAAAGTTAGCCAAAGCTTTAGCAGAAAAACTGGGAGAGCTTCACGAGACTCCTTTTTCACCATGACAACACTCCTGTTCACTCCTCTCATCACAGAGATTTTTGGAGAGTTTTTACAGAAAATGATTATAGTCCTGATTTGGTTCCTTCTGACTTCGTTTCCTAATCTTAAAAAAAAATCTGTAAAGGGCACCCATTTTTCCTCAGTTAATAATGTAAAAAAGGCTGCGTGGATATGGCTAAGTTCCCAGGACCCTTAGTTCTTTAGGGATGGACTAAATGGCTGGTATCATCATTGACAAAGTGCCTTGAACCTGATGGAGCTTATGTTGAGAAATGCAGTTTATATTTTATCTTTTAATTCCACTTTCCCATGAATTTTCTGAAGTTTCTTTGTACATGTTTAAGGATGTCCATAGAAAAATATTCAGATACCAAATAAACAAAAAAAATTCTAAATGTTTTATCAATGAGGAACATGTAAATTTATACAATAGAATACAGCTATGAAAATAATTATGTAGCTCTATAATTATTGACATGAAAAAGACATCTGAGTAAATACCTATTTCTGAAGTTACAGAAGAATAGGTACAGTACCCTCTTAATGTACATTTCTCTATGTTATGTACCTATCATACACACTGTACAGTCAGGTGTCTGAACAATGTTAGTATTTACTGTCTCAGGATGATGGAAGTACAGATGATTTTTCCTTTTCTCTTACATCTTTAAAAATACTGGTTTCTTTTTTACAGTTAACATCAATCATGATAACATATATATAAGTTTTATTTTTTCAGAAGAAAAGAATGAATGAGCTTTGCCTACCATCTAGGGACAAAAATGCTGTGTTTTCTTTTGCAAGACAGACTGAGCAGTAACAGTTCCTATGTGTACTGTGGGGTGGGTGGGGAAGGCCAACCCATTTCTCAGCAGCTCCCCCACCCCCACCTTCTCCTCAGGCAGAAAGCGGGCACAACTGCATTTTCAGCGCCACCTGAGGGAGAGCTTAATGATCTCCATCCGGAACAATGTGACCTTGGCACTTGCTATCTTCCACTGATGCTTATAATTAAGAAGCTGGGGTTCTTTACATAAAAATCTTTACTATGATAAATAAAAACAACAAACTGTTTTTAAAATTTTTATTTGGTGTTAACTCCACAAGAAAAAAAAATCAGTTACTCTGGTGTACGTGAAATCAGAACAATACAACCACGGGGGGGGAAAAAAATCTCAGCCCAGGAATGGAAACTGATACTTCAGTGCTATGGATATGCAATGCGCTTCATACCACAGTGCGTTTCAGCGTTTGCCAACTTTTTTTAATGCTTTTTCTTTGTGATCATCATCCATTCACAAAACTAAAAACCACACTTTCAACTCTGTTGCTGAAGGCCTCTCAGCTTCAGCTATTAACTATGAAAACAAATAAATACATAATTTGTTAATCCCTTTGCCCATTTATAATCCATCCCCGTTCCCCTGTGGAAGGTGCTGTATCTTCTCACCCATGTCTGAGGAAGTCCGCACCTTTGCCACCTAGAGCCCTTTCCTTACAAACAGCAGCTGTCCAAAATCAACTATGCTCGAGGTTGTGTCTGAAATCTAATTATTTGGTCTCAGCTACATAAGCAACAATTTCTAGGATAATCGTCACTGTAGTGATTTTAGGAATTTACAATTTCCAATCCTTTTTTTGCCTTTACTGTTAAATTATATTTCAGTGCAGATGCTAATCATTTTTTAGGAAGCTCCAGAAGACAGAAAAATACATAAAAACTTATCTGAAGTCTGTAAATAAATAACAGCCACATAAAACCTTACACGTGTGCGTGCGCGCGCACACACACACACACACCCACCCACCCGCTTTAAAGTGTCAAAAGATGTGCTATATAAAAATGAACCCTGACCTGCGGTGAGATCAGACCCAGTGGGCACACCAGGCTTCTCACAGTGAGGACATACGGGACCACAAAGACGCCATGGTCTTTGATGGCATTTTCTGTGTTATCAATTAAGAAAAAGGCAACAAAACCCAAATGTTCAAAGCAAATCATAGATTTTATAGCCAATTCAGCTCCCAGCTAATAAATTATGTATTTAATGCCTGTCAAAATCAGTAGTGAAGCTGTCCAGTCCCTATCAGATTTTTCTGCCATTCTCGATGTTTTGGACATGCTAAATTGATTTCACAGATTAGGTGTTTTGTTTTGTTTTAAACAAGTTGGTAAAAAAAGAAAAACTATATTGCTCCTCCTAGCCTTAACCTGCGGCACATCGTGACAGCTGAAGAAGGTGATCGGCACACATAGACATGACGTGTCCAGGTGTCCTGACCCCTGGGTTCCCCAAGTGAGACTGGACAGTCAGCACAGCAATCACACAGGCATGTGGGAAAGCCATTACTCTACCCGCCCCGCCCCACCACACACAGAACCTGCCCAGAACATTCTCTCAAACACAAAATGAGATATAAGCTACACTATATCACAGCCACAAGAGCAGCTAGCTGCAGCAGCCAAAGATTTCTTTGAGTGATGAGGTGGCCTTTACTGAATGCCGTATGTTTATAATTTCAAGTTTTGGGGGCTTCAATTCAATGTAGGTCACCAGAAAATAATAATTTACAACTATTTTCCTTACTATGTATTGTAAGACTCACCACAAAGAACCCTGAATTATGTTTTGGTATACATGCAAGAACAGGTTGTGGGGAGAGGGGTGTACCCCACTCTGCCTCACATACCGCCCCATACCCCAAATCCTTGGCTTCTTCAGTTAGCAAGAAAGTCACAAACCATAGTATCTTCCATGATACTTTAGGGGGAAAAATCCTAAGATAGAAAACACAGTATTTTGTAAGTCTCTAAAAGCACACCCTTGTGGTTCTCACTTCAAATGTACATGAGATTTTACTGAATAAAGACTGCAGATGAGTCACCCATGCTTCTCTCTGGCCTTCAAAAGGCACTGAGCCACTGCAGGGTAAGGATTTATATCCCAGTTCTTAGAGAACAAAGCCTAAATGTTCCAAAGCTAAAGTCTCTGAAAGCAGAAGTGGTTGTTGACACTGCAATGCTAATAAGGTAATAGTGATATAACTGCAGTTAGAAGGAAAATTAACTGCAGTTAAGATGCAAAAAGCAGTGAAACTTCTAAGACAAGCACATGCACACCCATTCTTGATTTGACAACACAATCTAGTCTATTTCAAATAGTCAAGAATTTAACAGCTTGGAAAAAAAATCTTCAACAGGATAGCTGTCTTCAACTCTAAAATAAGTAAGAAGAGAAAGATAATTACTGATCTGAATCAGTTAATTGAAGAAGAAACCTAAGTTGTTGTGTTAGATTAACAGGCTCACAAAAGAGTAATTTTCCATCACATATCACTTTTAAAAAATAATATGTACTACTCTGCAGGTTTAGAGATGAGTTCGAGAGAAGAGCTCCTCTTCGCTAGGGTCCACCCATTCACCTCCACCTTCTGAGCCCGTGTCTTCTGAGCCGGAGCTCGTGCTGGAATAAATTTTTCTTCGGAAGCCATTTGATTTTGCTCCAGAATCTCTCTCTCCTGTACATCTTGCTTCATAAACAGAAGACACCTAAGATTAAAACAATTTTCAACAGATCAAAAAGACACATTATTTTCCAAAACGGCTGAGATACTCTTTATTTATATAGAGAGATGAAATTGTTTTCCTGTGGAAAGTAACAAAAATGTAAAGAGTTTTACCATTTCAGAGCAAAACAACTTCTCCTCCCCAAGGACCCCAAATCCTAATTCTCCATTTTTAGTCACTTGGACAAAATGTTGACTACGTTAGGGTAGGATAAAAAGACTTCTTTCCTTTTTTCAACTAGTGTTTTTTATTTTTTAGAGACAGAGTCTCACTCTGTTGCCCGGGTTAGAGAGCCGTGTGGCATCAGCCTAGCTCACATCAACCTCCAACTCCTGGGTTCAAGCGATCCTCCAGCCTCAGCCTCCTGAGTAGCTAGGACTACAGGCACGTGCCACTGTGCCTGGCTAATTTTTTCTATATATTTTTAGCTTTCCAATTAATTTCTTTCTTTCTATTTTTAGTAGTGACTGGGTCTCACTGTTGCTCAGGCTGGTTTCAAACTGCTGACCTTGAGCGATCCTCCCACCACAGACTCCCAGAGTATTAGGATTACAGGCATGAGCCACCGTGCCCGGCCTCAACTAGTCTTTGAATGCCTGCTGTGGACTAGGAACCATGCTGGGCACGGGGACTCCAGGTGGGACGACATTGCATGTGGGGCTCACATTCCGTGAGAAGACAAATACGCAAACCAACAAATTCGACCCTAGACTGCAGCACACACCTCAGGCAGTGAGGGGAATGCTCTAGACAGGGGTGTTGGAAAGGCAGTTCTGGGCAGAGGTGCCAATGCTCTGTTGTATGGGACTGTCCCCCCACCAGAAGGTTAGCATCTCTAGCCACCAGGACACTAGATCCAAGTATAAGGTCCCTCTGCAATCACAGCGACTAGCAAAGCTCCCCTCCCCCCATCACATGGCTGGCAACACCGCACCCCATATCTAAAAGGCAGCATTGTCCCTGGTTGAGAACCCAAGGCAGAAGCACAGGAAAGCCACACAGAGTGAGGGAGAGTAGCAGCAGATGGAGACAAAACATACAGGGCCTCAAGGCATGGCAGGGAGTGTGGATCTGTCCCACATGCAAGAGCAAAGGGACTCATCACGGTTAGGAGTGTGGGCCCCAGAGTCTGCTGATTCTGGGGCCCACTTCACAAGTGTACTTCCTATATGACTCTGTGACTTTAGATACATGGTCCTTAATCTTTACACGCCTCAGTTTTCTACTCTGCAAAATGGGCATTGCAATAGCATCGACCTCACAGAGTCATTGTGAGGAGTAAAAAAGATACCACTAGTGAGGCCATTCTGTCCGCTGTGTGGAGAGAAGACAGGAGAAAGAGGACAAGAAGAAGGGAGGACAGACACTGGAAAGACCACAGTAGCCATTCAGAGTAGACAGTGGTCTGAACGAAGGGGAGAGTGGTGGAGACAAGAGAAGTGGGGGGATTTGGTGTGGCTGAGAGGTGGAATAGTCAGGATTGGCAGGCGGGCTGTGTGCGGAAGGTGACAGAATACTGACTGATGCCCATTCCCCATTTGGGGCTTGACGCTGGGGGGGCTGTGGGAACTATGCACTGGGCAGAGCTGGTGAGGGGCCTCAAACACCTGCCTGTCCTGTGAAATCTGACAGGCCGACAGCAGGACTTGGACAGCGATGCTGTAGGGTACTCAGGAAGACAATTCCTACAGGACTTGAACTGACACTGACAATCAACACTGAGAAGGAAAAGAAGTTTCCCTAGATTCATTCACCTGCCGCCTGCCTAACTGAGGAAGGCCTGAGATGAGACTGAACCAGGCATAGGCCCTGTCTGGCCTTCAGGGTGGTCCCAGGCTTGCTCGGGAGGCAGAAATGCGGATATCGAATGCAGCTGAATGCTCCGGCTGCAGCAAGGAGTGTCCTACACAAGGTGCGGCAAAGACACAAACAAGACAGAATTCGTTCTGCAGAGGCCAGGACAGGCAGGAAAAAGTACACTGGAAGGGCTCCCTTGTGGTGTACTTGGAAGTCCTGACAGTAAATGGTCGAGGCAGGAGACAGAGCAGACCCAATTCAAGGGCCAGAGAAGAGGAAGGCCACGTCCAGAGACCTTGCTGATTCCTGGGAGGGGCGTGGGGCACTCACATGACTCCAGCTTTCTGACTAGAGTGACAAGTGAGGTGGTGGCCATTTTTAAGTTAAGAATAAGGAGGACAGTCCACTTACCCTATTAAAATCTAACAGACGTTCTTCATTACTGGGTATTTCTTTAACATCTGGATATTCTTCTATACCATTCTCTCCCTTGGCATTTGTATAACATTCTTAATCATTTTGAATGGAGAAGGGAAAAGAGGGAAAGGGGGAAATTCCATTAAGACACAGTTATGAAACACATTTTTGTTTCATTTTTTGCTGAAAAGTTAGATCAATTAGGCATCCCAACCCTTTGGAGATTTTAAGTAGTCACTAGAAGCCCAGCCAGCCAGATGTGAAAGAGAAAAATGCTATGCCAATAAAAAAATTCTTAGATTGCTTAGTGAGCTGTATTTTAAAAAACAGACCAGTATAACCATATATTCCTGTTATTCCACCATGCGACATTCATCAGACAAATACATACTCACACCTATAATGTGACAGGCCCTGGGAACACAGGATAGAGAGACCAACAAGACCCATGCTCTCCCAATGCTGTATGGAGGGAGACAAACGATGCACCATAGGTATATTCATATAGCAACGAACAAGGAGTCTCACACAGGAGGAAGTGCAATGGAAAAATCAAAACAGGGCAACATCCTTGTTCATGCTTCCTCAGCTCAAAAGCATGCTAAACTATGTGCTTATCACATCTGTGAAACAGGGAAAAGAAATGAGGCTAGTGGGGATCAGGCAAATGGCCCACAAAATGGGAAAGAAATGTAAGCTGGAATGAGAAGTAGTCAGATAAATCCAACCAGTCCAGTGGTTCTCAGCCATGGTTGCGTATTCTCATCACCTGGGGAGCTTTAAGAGCAGCCCAGATTCCCACCAGGGACTATGACTGAACCAGCCAGGGTATGGTGTGGGCATTTTCTAAAAAGCTCACTGGTGATTCTGATTCGCAGCCAGGGCTGAGAACCTCTGCCCTTCATCTCAACCAGAATCTTTGTCCTTGTAAGTCCATGCTGGGTCAGAGGCACAGGAAAGAGTGAGAACTTGGGCAGGGCTGCATTTGGACTCTGGTTTTGACATTCATGGTATGTATGTATAAGTCCTTCACCACCCTTGAGCATCTATTTCCTTGAAACCAGACAACACCTGCCACCCCTTACCACAGTCACCATGAGGTAGTTCAATCAGACATATCGTAGACATATGTGTACCCCACGCACAAAACCGCAGAGGACAAGGCCAGTGCCCAATGACTGCTGTGCCTTCCACCGCTGGGTGGCGAGCCTGTGCCAATGGTAAGGCCACTTGGGCCTGGCTGAGCCTTCTCCCCACAGCTGCGTGGCCACATTAAAGATTCCACAACCTTCAGTTCTCTCTGATGGCTTCAAGTACTCCAAGTTACTGTTTTAGGTTCATGAGAATAACCTAGGTTGGTTCTAGGACTTTAGTCAATTCCAAGTTATGCTATTTACTTGGGGGTTTTTTTGGACAGGGTTTCACTCTGCCATCCAGGCTGGAGTGCAATGGCCTGATAAGAGCTCAATAGCTCACTGCAGCCTTCAACGCCTGGGCTCAAGCGATGCTCCTGCCTGAGCCTCCTGAGTAGCTAGGATTACAGGTGCATGGCCACTATGCTTGGTTCATTTTTTTATTTTTGTAGAGACAGGGTCTCACTATGTTGCCCAGTCTGGTCTTGAACTCCTGGCCTCAAGCAATCCTTCCATCTCAGCCTCCCAAATGCTGGGATTACAAGCGTGAGCCACCATGCCCAGCCTGCTATTTACTTGTGATGTAACTTTGGGCAAACCATTTAACCTCTCTGAGCCCCAGGTTCCCTCATCTCTGAAACAGGAATATTACCATTTCCCGTCACAGGTTTCTGTGCAAATTCAAAGAGGTGATATGTGTAGAGCCTCAAGTACAGTGTCTGGCATACACAACAACATCTTCTATGACTACCACTAACCAAAGACATGGGCTGGGGGCTTGGCCTGCTTTAGGGCAGCTGAGGAGGAAGCCATGTGCACTCTGACCAGGCCTCGGGACCCCTGCTCCACCTGTCTAAGGAGGCATCTTTTTCTTGGCTTTCCCTGCCAATCCCCCACCCACTCCAAGCCCCACTCTGTCTGGTTACCCCTTGTCCTTGGCCAGGAGATGCTCACAGGTGCAGGGAGAGCCATCTGCATCCTAGCCCTTCACCTTCTCTTCCTGTTTCAGGAATCCTGTATGCATAGAGGATTTTATCATACCACATGGCACTGGGAAAGGCAATGCTGACTGCCACCGATGTTTTTCACGATGTTTGTGCAAAAGCCGCCAGTTTCAGACTACAACTATGTGCTAGGCACTGTTCCAGGCACTTCATCCTTTTAGCCTCCTTTTATCAATACAGCAACGAAGGCACAGAAAGGTTAAATCACCCACTGCCCAAGGTCTACAACTGGGAACAGAGGCACTAGATTCCAACTCAGTTTTGTTTTTCAAGCCTGAGCCCTTCATTGGTGTCTACACTGCTTCCCTGCAGGGTGCTCACTTTAAGGCTAAAATAATCCAGAACTTAAATTAATTGAGTCTTCAAAGTACTGAAAATCCAAGGGCATGAGCTGTGGAGATTGCTGCTGGGAACAGCAGTACTGCCACACAGTCTGCAAGGGCCTCTATGGTCTGGCTGCTTGGCTGGCATTATCCCCACAACACTCCAGTGCGGTGCCCTTTGCCAGCCATGCTGGGACATACCGAACACACTCCTGCCCCTGCACCAGTCACTGCTCTGCCTAGTACCGCTTCCTGCAGGCAGCCCCAGTTGTCACACGGTTTATGCCCTACTCCCTCAAGCCCCTGCTCAGAAGACACCTGATAAGGAGGACAGGGACATGGTCTATTTGCCTCAGCATTCCAAGAGCCTAGAATAGTGCCGTCATAAGGTAGCACAAAATTGCTAGGATGAACACATCAACGCACAGCAGGGTCGGCAGGTGGCAGAGTGCAAACAGCTTGGACTCTCCTGCCAGATGGGTGCCTGGACAAGCTGTCCCACTCTGGAGCCTCTCCCTGTCTCTTCACCTTACTATAGAAGAGGATAATGCCACCCCTCCTTGCCAGGGATGCTGAGAGCTCCCAGGTCAGCCGTTGGCTCAGAGCAGCAAATGACTACTATTAATTATTTGCAACCTGGAAGCATCAGGAGTTCCCAGGCCCTCTGGCTGAGTGACTACCTGTTTCCCTGGCTAACCTCCTCCTGAGACTACATGCCCTACCCACATAAGCTAAAAGAAAGATGCTTCATGGTGCACTGTAAGGCATCATGCAGGGATTCGACTCTCAGTGTGAGCTACAAGTCATTCAAAAAACTGGTCAGTCACCATTATCTGTTCCACCAAGTGCCACCTCACAATAAAAACAAAGTATTATACAGAAGCATTTACCAATATCTACCTAGAGATTGTACAGATCACCAAGAACCTGGAACTAAGAGTTGGAACTGGATTCCTTTTGATAACAGAAAACTGGACTAAGGGTGTAAAGACAGCCCTTGACCCACTAACGAAGCAAAACTATCTGAAAACCATCCGACACCATTATAAGGAACTGGTCCCCACAAAGTGGCATCCCACTCTCCCACCAGGCTCTTCCTGAGGGGTCCTCTGCAGCACAGCTCTGTGCACTTCCTACCTGTATTCTGTAAACTGCACCTGTGTCTTCCACTCACCCAATTCGCCAGACTGGGCACGGATGAAGCAAAGTCTGTACTCCTGCTGCCCTGGTGTCTGCCTAGGCCCCAGGTGCAGACAGCTGCTATACAGGACAAGACTTCCTGGCCACAAGAAACACAAACTGGATTTCAGTCCATACATAATAGCTAACTGCATGATTCAGGACAAATAACAGTACTAAACTTGAGACTCAGCCTCCTAATCTGAAAACTAGGGGGAATATTTTATAAAGCTATTATAGGGCTTATATAAAAGATTGAAGGCACCTTGCAAATAACCAAGGGCTACCCAGATACTAGCTAATGGCAGAGCAAGAGCAGCAATAGGCCTTTCATAAATGTTAAATAAACAAAGATGCTATAGTGAAGACTCAGACCTACACTCTCCTTATGATCCAGTAGAACCTTTGAGAAGGAAGAAGGCAGGGTTTTGGGAAACCCTCTGTGGCTACAGACCACAAAAAAGCAAACGCTTCCAAAGAAGAGTCAAACTGGCCAATGTGGACAGACTTCTATCCCATCAGCTAGGGCACATGTTGCAAAAGAAAGCTAGCAGACGCTTTCTCAGCAGCTGCTCTGTGCAAGGCATTGTGGCTAGCAAGACGTCATGAGCCACAAGGTAACTATAAATTAGCTGCGGAGACATCATACATATGAATATGTAAATACCAGCAAAAGAATTACATAAGCCCGTCAGGGCTCTGACGGGAGAGAGTGTTAAATAGATGTGGTGGCCAACAGAAGACCAGGAGACCACACTCTGGACAAGCTCAACTAATCCATTCAGGTTGCATCCTTAGTTCCCACTGCTCCCAAATTTCAGATCAAGATTTCTTACAGCCTCTGGGTGTGTCTACCTAGAAGGCTCACACATTGTTCACTTAAAAAATACATCAAACTGGCCAGGCGCGGTGGCTCACACCTGTAATCCTAGCACTCTGGGAGGCCGAGGCGGGCAGATTGCTCGAGGTCAGGAGTTCAAAACCAGCCTGAGCAAGAGTGAGACCCCGTCTCTACTATAAAAAATAGAAAGAAATTAATTGGCCAACTAGTATATATAGAAAAAATTAGCCAGGCATGGTGGCGCATGCCTGTAGTCCCAGCTACTCGGGAGGCTGAGGCAGAAGGATTGCTTGAGCCCAGGAGTTTGAGGTTGCTGTGAGCTAGGCTGACGCCACGGCACTCACTCTAGCCTGGGCAACAAAGTGAGACTCTGTCTCAAAAAAAACCCACAAAACATCAAATTAAAATCATCTTCCTCACCAAATCAGCTCCTGCTCCCATCTCCCTCCCTATCCAGCCTCCTCTAACTACTCCTCACAGACAGTCATTCAGCAAACTCATCCTCTACCAAACCCCTTGATTCTGTTCCCCTTTATCTACCTGTCAGTGGCCTTAGTCTGGGCCTTCATCTTAACATTCTCAAACCACTGCAAAAGCCTAAGAACCCTGGCCAATGTCCTTCAATTTTTCAATTCCATTTGTACTCTGTTACTAGAATTGTTCTAAATACACATCTGACCTTGTCACCTTCCAATATGAACTCCTTTGAAGGCTCTCCCTTCCTGCACACATTAAACTGCCTAATGTAGCCAGGCTCTCAAACCTCCTGACATGCTTTGTCTCTGTCTGCTTCTCTGGCCGTAGCTACAGCCCAGCGTAGCACAATGGGTCACTGTTCCTTCAACTTGCCACAGACCCTCCTGCATTTGCGCAGGCTCTTCTTTCCATGGGGACCGCCTGGGTCATTCTTCCCGCACGATTCAAGGGTGGCTTGCACACATCTTGTCATGGCTCAGTAATGCTTTCACGTATTTCCATGCCTTTTGGCTCCTGATATCAGGCCATGGGTGAGTTTCAAAACAGTGCCAGTTTTCATTCATTTCTGTGTCCCCAGCGTGTGATAAAGTGCTAGTCACACAGAAACCTCTTGGTAAATGTTCTTTGGACTGACATTCATAGCAAAATAATTTATTGCTCTTAATGAATGAAGTATCAGAATGAGTAAATGAACTAATATGGATCTCCTTACCTTCACACTCTGATGCAGGAAAAAGAGGAGAGTACAAGGCTTTTTCCCACCAGGTCTGCTTTTCTTGACTTCTATTCATTCCTTGTACATCAGTGTTCAATATAGGAAACTGTTTAGATTAAACCAAATATAGAAAAAGTTTACACACTTTCAGGATAGAGGAAAAGATTCAAGCATTATTAACTATGAAACATAACCCAGGGTTTTTAAATTGGTGAGTTTTTATACTGTTCTGAGCAAAGTGAATTTAAAAAAACCCATGTGTTCACAGCAAGAGGAACAAAAATCTTCACAAAAAAATCCTCCAAAATGCTTACAATGCAAAAATATAATATAATAGGAAATACTCCCAAGTAAGGCAAATTTCTTGATTTCAGAAGTACACAGAGATAAGAGGGCAGCTCTGAGCCTCTACTGGCATGAGGTGCTCTACAGCAAATGGGGAGGGGGTTATGGGGAGGTATGTGAGGGTCTTCTCTCTCACATACTCAGGCAGAAGGGAGCAGAAGAAGAAATGGAATAAAAGGAAATTCTTATAGGCAGAGTTATCAACCTAAATGTCTTTATAACAAAATTATCTGCATAGGTGAGAACTGGAAAGCTAAGATTAAAACCAAATTAAAAATTAAAATTCAAAAAAGGAAACAGTCATCCAAATGAGATGAGTGAATGACTCCTAACAGCAAGGAGACTCACACCCTACCCATCTCGTGGCCATGGCAGAGTGCAAGGTGGCCAGGCCCAGAAGGACTGAGTTTGAATTCAGACTCCACCCTTGACTAGTGTAACTCTAGAAGTCCTATGTGGACCCACGCAGGGATGACTGGACACAGTGTGGTCAATAGTGGACAGACAGCAGCTGTCATTAGTTATCAAGGAGAGTCCTTGTGAGGGGCCATAAGACTGGTGGCCAGCTTCAGTCTCCACGTGTATCCTGGTACGCTGGCGGTCAGGGCAACCCTGTACCATGTACCCTCCTCACCGTGCTCTGCACCTCCCATGGCCCCTGACACTGTGTTCTCAATACACATTTGTAAACACTGCATTCACCTTATATTTACTGTTTTAAAGGACATTTCATTATATGTTCAAATTTAAAATCTGAGCTGTTTTAAAAATGAATGATCATTAATTCTCTAACAGGATTTTGTTATTGCTTCTAACTAAATTGTCTTATGGGTCTAAAACTGATCAATTCAATAAATGTGTTTTTTATTACATAACTAAATGGGAATTATTTTAAACTTTTATTTTCACTTAATATAACTTTTCAGAAATTACTACTAAATCAGAAACTGAAGGAGAACTGTATTGTCTATTCAGAGTCGTGAGTTCACCTTCACTAATTTCTACTGCAGCTTATCCTAACAATGAAAATTAGTACTACTATTGAACAGATGCCAAGGCAAACAGAACAGACAAAGCTAGGCTTCATGCAAAGGAGGCTGGCGATGTGCAAGATGTACAGTTAATGCAAGGTAGTTAACAGCACTTGGTATGTAATTCACCGTACTACAAGGCCTCTTTGGAAAGGGCTTACCTATTCTGTGAGATTACTTAGTGCTATTCGGGGGGGAACAAGAAAGGTTTCCCTGGCCAGAACTTTCTCCATCACCCCTAAGGTACTACTGAAAGATGGGTTTGGAGGTAACAGGTTCCTACTTAAGAAAATGCTCTGGGCAGGTTGCAGAATGATCAGTCCAGTTATATTGCTTCTCTTTTCATCCTTCTTTGAGACAGCAGGGGCAGGGGCAAAAGCAAGGGCAAGAGAGGGGGTGCGAGTTCATAGTGGGGAATGGAGTGAGGTCAGGGAAGGCAGGCTGGAGGGCCAGGCACCCAAAGGGGCCAGGACAGCACGAGCAAGAGGAACTCAAGATTCCAGCGGGGCCAGACTGTGAGCTTCCTACAGGCAGGGACCACACTGTCTTTATCTTTGCATCTCCAGGTACAGGAGCTGCACAAAGCAGATACTCAAGTCTGTTGGCCTGAGGAAAAGTTTCTACTGAGCCAAGCCTCTGATTATCTAGCACATCATCTCCTTCTCTCTCCTGCAAAGCCACTGTGAAGAGCATGCCAGTTTCTGCCATAATTTTAGAAGTCTTTTTTCTGCATCCTCCATTTTAGTTTCAATTCCTGTGGCAGGGACTTATTTGTCCTATTTCATGCTATAGTGAATGCATCATTTTATGATATCTCCCCACTCAGTGGTTTCCAACACTTAGGTTGCACAGCAAAGATGACCATGTTTTCTCACCTAATGTATGAACTCAGTGTATTAATTCAACTTTTACTTTACTTGTGAATGCAAAGAATGAAGAGAATTGAGGAAACTGAAAGCAGAACAGGGCTGGACCAGGCTACCATGGATGAGCATGCAAGCCTGCCCACCTCCACTCTGCTCCCTCTCTCCTGCTGAGTGTCTTCTAACTCACTCTCACTTGCAAGTACTCCCTCAAACTTCCCCTTGGCAAAGAAGCCTGCCCTGACACGGTAACACAAACTGCGAGCACTCCCACCCTCTGTAGCCCTCATCCAGCTCTCCCCCCTTTTCAATAGCACCACTGAACTGGTTTACTGTCCGCTCCCTGAGCCTGGATTCGACTCCACAAAGGAAGGGATCTTTGTTACCTATTCCTAGCACTTAGAACGGCACCTGACCTAAAAGGCACTTAATAAATATTTGATGAATGAAATAGTGAAAAAAATAGAAGACAGAAACTTAATCCAAAAAGCTTGACCAGAAGTGTTTTTAGCAACAGATGTAATACTCAGAAATTCTTTAGAAGATGGAAGTTACGTGAAGGAAACAAAGGCTTCAGTTTTAAATTCTCACTAACTACTTCTAGTTCTGATGAAGAGAAAGGTGTTTGGCTTTAGTTTTACTCTAGGAGTAATGCTCCATGGCCACAGTTTTTAGTCAACTGGGTCACAGAAAGGAAAAGAACGCCTCCAACAGGCCTTGTTCTTTGGAAAAAGGAATGAAATGTAAATGAAGAGATACTGAGTGCAACAGAGACAAACGAGAGACACTGACTCTCCTGTTTTTAGTTTTCCTTTGCTTACAGGAAGTGGATAGTGGGGAGCACTTTGGCTCTATCTGTTACACTGGGACCCGGGCAGGTATCTTAACCCCTGAGCTTACGTGTCCTTAACAGTCAGGTAGGGAAGCAGACCTACCACAGAAGGCCTCTGTGGGCACCAGGCACAGGCAGGCTGGGTGCTACACCACCAGGATGGCCCCATCCCCTCTCCACTCATTAGAGCCATCCTGCTTTCCAGACCTCCTGACCTCCACAGCACATCTGCTGGGGCTGCACTGGCCTGTAAATGCCTGAAGACAGGGAGCAAATCTTCTAGTTCTTTCCTGGGTTTCAAAGTGCTTGGCACTAAGTCAGCAATCAAGGAAATGACAAGGAGACCATTTTTGCCACAAGGTTATGCACATTCTGCTTCATCTGTACCACTAGTCACCCTCCACTCTATGCCTGAGGCCACAGGCTGTCCACAGCTGCCCTGCAAACTCAGCAGGTGCAAGCTCCACCCTGGCTTGTGCTGTGCCTTCTGCCAAGATCACCTGCCTTCTTCCTTGCACCCCACATGTTCAGCTGGGTTCAAAGGTCTTTCTCCACACTCCCAGACTGGAGAGTTCTCCTCCAGATTCCCACAGCACACCATGCTCACATCTACCTCTCACTTGCCACACTACCCCAAACTGTGCTGGCCCAAATACCTTGAAAGATAAAGAACTGGCTAGGTAAACTACAGTATATCCATACAATGGAATAGTACACAGAAAATGAAAAACAAGGGTGACTATGATAAAGGTGTTTACATTTCAATAAAAAGAAAAAATAGGAGGAAAGACATGCAGACATGTATTTGCTTATACATGCAGAAAACATCCTTAGAGAACACAGCAGAACACACACTAGTGCTTACTAGTGGGGAGGGAACTTTTCACTGAGTACATACCCTCTCGTAACCTCTGTGTTTGAATCATATGAATGAATTACCTAGGTCTTTTGTTTCGTTTTCTTTTTTTCTTGAATCTTGCTCTGCCGACCCAGCTAGAGTGTGGTGGTGTCATCATAGCTCTCTGCAACCTCAAACTACTGGGTTCAAGCCATCCTCCTGCCTCAGCCTCCCGAGAAGTTGGGCCTATAGGAGCCACCACCTCCTGCTTATTTTTCTATTTTCTGTAGAGATGCAGTCTCACTCTCGCTCAGGCTGGTCTCGAACTCCTGGCCTCAAGCAATCCTCTCACCTCAACCTCCCAGAGTGCTAGGATTACAGCCATGAGGCACTCACTGTACCTGGCCTGAATTACATACTTCAATTTAAAAAACTTACCTGTTTACAAATTAATCTTAACTAGACTGAATTCTTCCTGGGCAAGGACAAAGTCTTAGTTACCCAGGGCTGCAGCCTCCAACTCTGGTATCGGTCCATGGCCCGTTAAGATATGGACTTAGGCCGGGCGCTGTGGCTCACGCCTGTAATCCTAGCTCTTGGGAGGCTGAGGCGGGCGGATTGCTCAAGGTCAGGAGTTCAAAACCAGCCTGAGCAAGAGCGAGACCCCGTCTCTACTATAAATAGAAAGAAATTAATTGGCCAACTGATATATATATAAAAAAATTAGCCGGGCATGGTGGTGCATGCCTGTAGTCCCAGCTACCCGGGAGGCTGAGGCAGAAGGATCACTTGAGCCCAGGAGTTTGAGGTTGTTGTGAGCTAGGCTGAGGCCACGGCACTCACTCTAGCCTGGGCAACAAAGCGAGACTCTGTCTCAAAAAAAAAAAAGATATGGACTTGGGTATCACTGTCTGAGGTCTGCACCACGCCCCTTATGCATCCCCCTCCCCTTTCACCCCAATTTGTGTAAAATTGTCTTCCATGAAATCGGTCTCTGGTGCCAAAAAGGTTGGGGACCACTGACCCAGGGAACCTACCTTAGTGACAGGCATGTTAACAAGTAATCGATAAATGTTTGCTGAATTGAACTACACCAAACTTTTGAAAAGAATCATTCTTCTCATGCTCCTAGACACCAATTCTATTGGAATTCCTACATTTTCATCCTCTCACTCCTCTCATTCCTACATTTTCATCCTCTCACTCTGAAAGACATGGGTTCCCAGTGGCCTTTAAATGGGGCTCCCAGATTGCCTTCTGCAAAGACCAGTTTCGCTCAGGAAAAGGGAGGAGAATGCCTTCTCAGAAGTCCTAAGACTAACCAGGCATGGCCAGGCACCGTGGCTCACACCTGGAATCCTGAAATCCTAGCACTTTGGGAGGACTGCTTGAGGCCCGGAGTTCAAGACCAGCCTCGGCAACACAGTGAGACCTCATCTCTAAAAAAGACTGACCAGGAAATGTGACAGAAGGGAAAGACACAAGTTCTAGCCCAGTCTGGCCCCCAGCTGTCCCTGCAGACCTCTCTCTCCACCTCTACGTACCTCAGATTAATCTATTAAGTAAGCACTAACCCAGCTCTACACTGCGGTGACATGGTCACCCGGTGAGAGATCAATGTTGACCGTGCTGATGACACCCAGATTATTGGACAAACCCAAAATGTCCTGTGGGTATTTTTTTAGTAGCTAAGACCTTTCAAGAAAACCCAGAATTCTGATAACACATAAATACATCAACATACTAGAAAGCGAAGGAATATGGTAGTGGTATGATGTAGAATCTTGCTTCTTTCCTCTTTTTCTTTCTTCCCAATCTGGAACCAGGTGAAATACAAAGTACATAAAGGAATATTTAAGGATGAAAAGGGGCAATAAACAAACAGATAAAGGCTAACAACATTATTGTTTTTTTTCTTAACAGTTCAGATTTCAGTGTTTTCAATTAAATTCATCCTTCTGAGGATCTCTAGGGATGATTACAGCAGTGACTCTCAAATCACTTAGGGTTTCCTACAATTACAGGTAAGCAGCCCCATACCTGGGCACTCTGATTCTCATGGTCCATAGCCATAAGGAGCTTATAGTCTAGTATATAAGTAACTCATGAAAAATGGAAAATGCAATAAAAAAGAAGCATAAAAGCAGCATGAAAATTAAAAGGGAGAAATTAATTCTGATGCAGAGTGGGAAGTAGAGCAGGGGAGAGAAGAGGACTCAGGCAAAGTGTCAGTAGAGGCGGTAGTATCTGAAGCGAGCCTCATGGTATGGGTAGAACACAGACATGCAAAAGAGGGTGGGGTGTGCAGGACAGATGGGAGGAAGGGCAACACTCATCTGCTCTCTGGCCACAGGTGGCATGACTTCTAAACACCTCCAACTCTCTCTTTAATAGGCTATTTCTGGAGAAAGGCCAGGCACTGCTATACCAAGTAACAGTTGAAAAATGGGCAGATCACTTACGCTTTTTGTGTGAAACAGGTTATTTTCTTAAGTGTTATTTCTTGTATAATCAATTCAGCCTCAAACCATTTCTTAGGAATATAGTCAAGGGGTACAATGACTCTCATTAACAAAACTATTAACTTCATTTGATAGACTTCATATATAATTCATAGTTTATGAATATGTACCCCATAAAAAAGTAAATCTACATAGGTTCTGCAGAAGCTATTCTGTTGCATTAACTGTGGGTTAATTTTTACATGTATTTTGGAGAACCCACCCCCATACAGATGTAATTTATTTTACATGCAAAACACAAGTTTTAATAGACTGATCAATGTCTAAAAGGCAGTTAGAGGCTTACTACTGAAAAACTCTTCACAAGCAGCCACTTCCTGATTCATCAATGCTTATATATTAGGTGTTTGCATTATGCATAGTACATGTTTATTAAGACAGCACATAAGACTCTTATATCCTGTGATGTTTTTAAAATGCCTTCTCTTTGCAGAAAAAGTCTGTGTCTAGGTCAAATTTATAAATATCAAATTCATTTGGGTTCTTAAATGTAAAACCGTAATAAGTTTTAAAACATTTAAGCTAATTACCTAATAATTTAACCCTTTCTTTCATTGCCTAATATGGCTGTACTTGAATTAAAGTCTGATCATACCCTTTTGTCAAATACCAACACGCAGACAACATACCTCTTCCAGCTGTCCTGAAGAAACTGGATTATCTTCATAAGCAGGGAACTGACAACCTGCTTTGCAACTACAAAAATTATTTATTTCTTCCTCGCATTGTGCCATTATTTTACAATTTGCTTCTGAGCTTTCTAAATCTATTTCCAGAGATTCATTCATGCTACATTCCAAACACTGGTTTTGCTTTCCTGCTGGCAGAATCCCAGTTGATTCCTCCTGGGAATCCAGTGATGTCTGAGCACTCTTTTCCATTCCAGATTTTTTTAACCTGGGAAGGAACTTTCCAGACTCAAGCTCTGATTTTCCATAGTAATGGCCTTCTTTCTCTGCATCTTCTTCCAGAGGTTTGAGATCTGCCTGTGGATCTTCAAATACGTCAGCTTGAGAAGGAATAGGAATATTTGCTTCATCTTTCTCAGATTCAAATTCCGACTCGCTTCCTCCTCCTGGGGATAGTTCAGATGCAGAAATTGGGCGAAAGTGAGTCCTAGGAGAGATGCGAATAGCCCTGTATTGTGTTCTGTCAACGCCACATATCCTGGGGTGAAAAACTTCACTGTCTGAATCAGAGCAGAGGATTGATTTTGGTTTAAAACTGGGGCTGAAAGATGTAATCCCTTCGGGTTCAAATGAACATTCTACATGAAGAACTTGTGAAAATGGATTGCTTAAGTCAAAGGAAGAGAAAGAATATTCCAGTCCAGGATCTTCAACTTGAAAGTTACCACAAGCTCCTAGTAAGTCTTCATGGAAGATAAAAGAAAATCCCTTATTTAATCCATTTTCCCCACTCTTCGGCTGATCATTCTGTTCAAAGGACACGAAGGGTTTCCATAACTGCCTGTGACCAGGAGCAAAACTGTTTCCTGGGGTCATGAAGACATCTGTACCAGCTATTGTCACAACATCAGAAGCTGCACACTGTAACAAACTTCCTTTTGTGTGACTAGGCGGTACGACTGCCCATTCCCCATCGCTATTAAAGGTTTTGAGTTCACCATAAACTCCTCCAAGAATGAATGCATTCTCTTTATCTTGGGCTATATCCCAAGGTCTAGAGGGTGTAGTATAATCACCACCGTCCGCCTTTGATAGCTCACTAGAAACAAATGCTCTTTTCTCCAGGGTTTCCTTTTGCCCCTCCCACAGATGATACTCTGACCTCTGCACAGCCTTATTAGGCTCCTGAAGGGTTTCCATGTCAGCTTCAGCATCCAAACAGCAGCAGGAGTTATTTACATCTGTTGAAAACAACTCATCGATTCCTTCTATTTCTACTGTAGCCACAGAATTTCTATCTGCCATCTTTGTCCAAATGTCCTTAATAACCCCTGAGCTGTAGCCATCGCCATGTGGACTGTTTTTACTACATGCTTGTGTAGTTTCAAAGGTTTTGTTTTCTGTTTTTTGTTCTAGCTGAATACCACAGACAGATTCTAGTTTAGATTTTTTTTTGAAAACTAATGTAGGAACTTCACCTAAAGTTCTACTGCTTTGCTGGCAAGTTTCATCTTGCAAAAAATCTAGAAGTTCTTCATCTACATAATTTGACGAGACTCTAGGAACTACATAATTCATATCTTCTGCACTAAACTGTGTGGATTCTTCAAACTGAATATTTAATGTCTCATTATCTGAACGTGTTTCTTCTGAATGGGACCATGGACTACAAGTTCTTGTTGAAAGATTAGAACAGTGTTCATTTTCTTCAAAGGCACTATTTTTGGTCCATATTAGCAATCTAGACTGTGTTTTCCCAAGCATATTAGCACTAGAATCTGTATTTTCATTTCCTAAGTTGAGTGTTTCAAAAGAAAATGGTAAAACAGAATTACCGCATTGCACTTCAAACACTGAAAAACAAGAGTTTATACCAGATCCTTCATTAATATCTGAAAAGAGCTCTTGATTGCCAGCAAGCAAGTGTGAATTGAGCATTGTGCTGTCAAAGATTGGAGAGAGTCTAATTGGAGAATCTCCTCCGAAACTCTCTCCATCAGCATCCCCAGAGCTGGATGAACAGCACTCCCAAAACTGAGCCAGATTGCCAAGGTCTTGCAGGAAGAAGCCCTCAGCACCCACGGAGCTGGTAGAATCTGTCCATATTGCACGTTCCCCTTGCAACTCCATACCATCTAACACTATGCAACATTCTGCCTCAAAATCTGTTTTCTCTTTGCTTTTTTGTCGAATCATATTCAAAATCCGACTTTCTCCTTGCATTGTTTCTGAGGCACCAGGATCCAACATGGATTGATCAATATCTACTTCATAGAAGTGTGTTAATTCTGACAGATGAATGTCATCCAGGTATTTATTGTCCTCTGGTAGAGAACATAATGAGGTCCCAGTGAGGTCAATATCCTCATTTATAACTGCAGGCATTTCTACAAAATGACCATCAATGAAAGTACCTGCTGCGAGGTATGTTTTATGAATATTACTGTTGCTGATACAAAGACCATGTACTGATTCAGACAATTCTTCCACTGCCTCTGATGTCAGATCACTTGTATCTTGTCTGTTTCGGTATGTGGTCTCTAATTTACTTTTTCTGCTCAAAGGAACGAAATACTCAGCAATTGGTTCGGTGTACCACAATGGCTCTTCTTTGTACTCTCTGTTGTTTCTGCTCTCCACATACAGGTCTTTCCCTTCAGTGCTCCCAGGTTCTTTTCTCCCTGTTTCTTTCAGTGGTCTCTTACCCCGCTTGCACAGCTGTTTGACAGAGCCACTGCTGCTACTGCTACTACTCCCAGTATGAATGTTTCTTTCAGCCTTTTCACCATGCTTTAATGATAGCCTACTTTGCCCATTTCGCCCTTTTTTGTTTCGAATTTCTCGTGCCTTATGTCTTACTTTAACATACTTCATGGATGCTTTTAATTCTCCCTGATTACCACTGGAACTTGAGCCTGCTTCACTAGAGCCGGAAGACCATGAGCGGGGGCGAATCTTTCCTTCAGCTTTATGTCGGATTTGCTTTTTGTACAAATAAGGATTTTCTTCAATTGTGCCATTACTAAATTTGTTCTCCTTTTCATTTTTACTTTTGCTCTGGGTTTTCTCATGCACAGTAGTGGGTACTTCAGTGCTTCTTTCTTTGATGCCTTCACTCTCACTGTTGCAGTCCTTGGGAGAGGATGTATCTGTGCTAGCTGGTGGGGCTGTGGATGATGAAGAAGAGCTAGAGTAAGAACAGACTTTGGACTTGTTCCACACAGTCATGATTTCTTGCAGGCAAACAGGTTTCTCAGAAAGTGGTGGGAATGCTTCATAGTACCTGAAAAATGGAGTAAAGAGTTCAAAAATGAGCATACAGATATACTAGATATAGTAAAACAACATTACCAAGCAGAGAAATGGAATATTTCAAGAGTCAATATTCATATCATCCATGAGTCATTAACTTTATAATAATTTATAACAATAAAATATGCTTTACTTAAAATCAGTCCTAGGCATCATGCACCTTTTTGCTCAGCACTGTGGTTAGCACTGTAAGAATACTGAATATATGTAAGATGACAATTTTTGTCTTCAAACCTTGAATTTTAAATTAAGTAAAAAATAACAAATACAATGAAAGAATGTAGTCTTTTCAGTAGGAAATGTCTGAATTTGAATCTTAGCTCAGTTGGCTAGTGCTTATGACTTTAAGCTCAAAATTCAGTGTTTTGGTCTATTTTCTCAACTGCACAACGGTAATTATATGACTTACTTCACAAAGTTGTTGTGAGCATTGGAAATACATGCAGTTGAAAAGCTGAATAGCGAATTAGTAGTAAGAGTATGAGCTCTAAAGCCACATTCCTTGAGGTCGAATCCTGGCTCTTACAGTTACTAGCCGTGTGACCTTAGGCATATTACTTCACCTCTGTGGCTGAGTTTCCTCACCTACAAAATAGGGGTATAATAGTATCTACCTCAAACAGTTGTTGGGAGTAAAAGAATATACAAAATGAGCCAGAATAGCACCCTCATGAGTGATTCTAACATACTGCCTGGCATTTAAGTAGGCCTCAAAATGACAAGGATTATCACATTCAAGTGTTCAGAAAGAGGATGTCGGTAAAGCCTAGAACAATGAGACAGTGGCCCACAACTGAGCCCTAAAGTACTAGAGGTGTAGTGGTTTAGTGAGTACTACTTGTGAGGTCTGGGAACTCGTGTGAGGACATGTTATGCTCACGGAACGGAAGACTGATTAGACTGGTGACTCCCAGAATGCAGGGTGGCTATAACCAGGAGCCTGGTTTCGGTGGGCTTCAAAACGAGGAAGTGTTTTTGACTTGCTAGGAAACTGGCAGCTGTTGACAATTTCAGAGTAGACTAGATGCCAAAGGAAAAATTTAAAGTTGTGTTGGCTACTGAAGGGACTGCTATTCTAAAAGCAACACCCAAGTCGCACCTGAAGTGGTAAAAGGCTATGTTCTGAAACAGCCTGAGCTTGACTCTCCTTAGTCTATACTGACGCTGTCCAACAGGAATATATCATGAGGTTCATGCATAATTTTAAATGTTCTAGCTGTCACATTAAAAGCATAAGAAACAGATGAAATTAATTCCAATAACATATTTTATTTAACCAAATAAATTCATATTATCATTTCAACGTGTAATCAACATTTTTAAATGTTTAATACAATACTTTTTATATTAAGTCTTTGAAATCTATGAGAATTTTATACTCACAGCACATCTCAATTAGAACCAGTCACATATCAAGCGCTCAATAGCCACAACTGGCTCATGGATACTGTGTTGGACAACGCAGGTCTATACAAATCAACTAAGTGCTATCTTTTCCTCTCAGGTTTTAGAGGTTCAGAAGATCAAAATAAAATATATAATATTGAAGTCTGTTTATAATGCAGATTATTTTAATACTAATCATTTACAAAGAAAGAACTAAAAGTATTTTTAGGAAACAGATTTGGCAAGGCCAAAGATTTGCCCATATTCCCTTTGCAATAAGCAGTGGGAACTCAGGGTTCTTATTTGTAAACAAGGGTGATCATCATTTCTTATTGCTGTCTCAAAGGACTGTTGCATGTAGCATTATTAGTCTGATTTTAACAAATGCACACTTTATTACTGAATACAATGTTACATACATTTCCACTTGATCCTTTGCTGTGGAGGATAATTCTGCTTCTGGAGAGGGAGATCCCTCTAATTTTTTGTGAATCTTCTCTTCTGTTATGAAACAAAATTTTAGAAATATTTGTCTTATATCTAGGTAATAAATGCCCATGTTTTTAAAAGTTTCTCAATTAATTTTAATCAGAAATGACAGAGACTTTTGTGGCTTAAAAAGAGAACCCTATACAGTATGTCTTTTTAATAAAAATCCATTTCTTCAGGCCAGGCATGGTGGCTCACGCCTGTAATCCTAGCACTCTGGGAGGCCAAGGTGGGAGGATTGCTCAAGGTCAGGAGTTCCAAACCAGCCTGAGCAAGAGTGAGACCCCATCTCTACTAAAAATAGAAAGAAATTAATTGGCCAACTAAAAATATATAGAAAGAAAATAACCCGGGCATGGTGGCACATGCCCATAGTCCCAGCTACTTGGGAGGCTGAGGCAGAAGGATTGCTTGAACCTGGGAATTTGAGGTTGCTGTGAGCTAGGCTGATGCCCTGGCACTCTAGCTCGGGCAACAGAGTGAGACTTTGTCTCCAAAAAAAAAAAAAATCCATTTCTTCAGTATGCTAGAGGGACTTCTTTGGCTAAACCACCTTAGCATTAGGCTGACAGGTGAGAGTTTTTCATCTCATCACTGATACAGAGCTCTAGAGGCACTTCAGAGACAACATCCCCTGTGTACTTACTCATTAGACCAAAAGAGAAAACATTTGTTTAGATTCCAAAAATATTTTCTAACCAAGTTCTGTACTCACGGACTTTAAATTGATTCATCTTGACTAATTCTAATCTGTAAAGAACATGCTTCATTACAATTAGTTCTGTTACTTAACATGGAGATAAGCAAATCTGTACTTCACTTAAAATAGAAAAAAGGGCTATTCTCTCAGCTTAGACCAGGATACTTCAATCATTAAGAGAAGGCATACCCCTCTCGGTTAATATCTGCCTATTAGTATGAAAGCCTTCAAAGGTGCTGACAGTAATTATAATTCAGGGTTTAGAAGGATTTCTGTGGTTTTTGTTTTTTTGAACAGTCCTCCGCTTTGTTGCCCAGGCCTAGAGTGAGTGCCGCGTGCATCAGCCTAGCCGCACAGCCTAGAAACTCCCTGGCTCAAGCAGCCTTCTGCCCCTCAGCCTCCCCAGTAGCTGGCGACTACGACGCATAGCGCCACCCATGCCCGGCTGAATTTATATACTACATATATGATTCATAATATATATATTAAGTTGGGCCAAATTAATTTCTTTCTATTATAGTAGAGACGGGTGCTCGCTCTTGCTCAGCTGTTTCCAACTCCTGACCTCGAGTAATCCGCCGCCTCGGCCTTCCCATGAGTGCTGATTTCTGTTTTGAATCTCAAGTTCTTGGAGCAGGTTAGACTTGATAAGCTCACTTAAGTTCATTTGGATGACATGACCCCTCCTGCGATAGTTGGCTTGCTTAAGTCTCCGTAGTCCCTAAGAATGAGAACCTACGTTAAGGTTAAGGATCCTTG